AGATGGTTAAAAAGGATAGAATTTTCATGGAAGGAAGGTTTTCAAAAATGGTCTTCTTATGGCTTGTATCTAGATGTTCCCACAAAGCCTCAGGAGCACATGGGTGGGGCTGGATTATGGATGTGTGATGCTGAGATTGTGGGTGTGTGGTATGAAATTAGCCCACTGATTGGTTTAGCATAGTTCTGGGTGTGGATGATGGGAAGGCCCACCCTGGGTGTGGGTGGCACCACCCAAAAGGCTTGTAGTCTGGATGGGTTGAAAGGGAAAGAAAGGCTCACTGTTTGCAGCTCCCTGTCTTTTGCCTGCCATGTCACGTGCTGTTTCTCCTCTGTAATGTGCCTCTGCCATGCCACTCTGCCTTGGAGTCAGCCAATTATGAAACCTTTACAGTGAGCTGAAATAAACCTTTCCTCCTTTAACTTGTGGGTGTCAGGTATTTTGTCCTATCAACAAGAAAGTAACTAAGACAGACCTATTAGGTGGTTCCTCTCAATTTTGACTTGCATCTTCTTTTTTATTTTATGAAAAATAAAACAAAATTTCATAGCAAAGTAAGAGAATAGCAATAGTTAATACACTGTATTGTTATCTTCAAACTAGCTACTCAGAGTACAAGATATAAACCAAAGAGATTCTTACAAAAAACAAACAGATAATAACACATAGTATAGATGAAACAAATCAACATATATATTGAAATATTTTTGAAGGAACAAAATATGTAATTTGGGGAAGTATTTGAACTTCTCCTTACTTTTTGTTTTACCTCTCATCTATTTTGCTCTTTGTGTATACATTTTGTGTTTCTCATATAAGAGAAACCATGTGATATTTCAGTTTGTGTCAGTTATTTCACTTAACATTATGTTCTCAAGTTGCATCCATTTACCTATGAATGCCTCAAATTTATCTTTCTTTATGGCAGTGTAGTACTCCATTATGTATAAATACCACATTTTCCTTATCCATTCATCTATCAGTGAACATACATGCTGTTTCCAAGATGTGACTCTTATAAATTGTGCTGCTATAAACATGGGTGTACATTTATCTTGCAATATGATGATTTTTAACTCTTAGGAAGATATCTAGAAGGGAAATAGCTGGGTCAAATGGAATTTCTAGTTTTAATTTTTTGAGAAATCGCCACACTGATTTCCATAGTGGTCGTACTAGTTTACATCCCCACCAACAATGTAGAAGAGTTTCCTTTTCCCCATATTCTTGTCAGCATTTGCTATTTTTAGATTTTTTGATGATAGCCATTCTTTCTAGGGTCAAATGGTACTGTGTATCAGTATAGTTTTAATTTGCATTTCTCTGATGGCCAGTGATGGTGAGCATTTTTTCATGTATTTATTGGCCATTTATATTTCTTCTTCTGAGAAGTGTCTATTCACTTCAGTTGCCCATTTTGGCGAGGAGGTTGAGATAAGATCTTGCTATGTAGTTCAGACTAGCCTTAAACTCACTATGTAGCCCAGGCTGGCCTCGAACTCATGACAATCCTCCTGCCTCAACCTCCCAAGTACTGAGATTACAGGCATGTGCCACCACACCTGCCTTCAGTTGCCCATTTTTTGTTTTCTTTTTTTTTTTTGG